TGCCAAGATTTACATCATTTAGTAGCCTTGTTTAAGGTACTATACAAATAAAGCTAGAACCATAGTTTAGTGCTGGCTGCAGTCTTAGCTGCTCTGGTCCTCCCGATCCCATCTTTGTCTCTCGTGTGTGTGTGTGTCTCTCTTGGGAATTTCTCTTTTGTGTGTCTCTCTTGTGCATGTCCCTTGTGCGTCTTATTTCCTCATTCCCCACCTTTCCCACTCTGGTTTGTTCTCCTGCTTCGTACTGGTTTGTGAAAAGCAGTGTAGGAGGCAATTCTGGCCTCTACCCAGGAACCCATAGGGGACCATCTTCCTCTTGGGGGATGCACCACAGATTAAGCCTCTTTCCTTTTAACATAAAAATAAACCTAATTACTGGCAAAGCTATTTGTAGACTATCTTTAAAAGGCTCAAAGCACCCTACATTTTGATCTTAAAACCTCTCTGGGCCTTGAGGAATTTCTGATCCTGATGGGATCCAGACCTCAAAGCAAAATAGGGTGAGCAGAGGGCGCCTCCTCTTTCTTTCTTCTCCCAGAGTCAAACTACCTGCCCACCACAGATCTGGTGTCTACAAGACACGCACGAGCCAGGCTCTCCTTAGCTGATGGAGAAGGTGGCTCTCTATATCTTATGATTTCAGGGGTGGAGGAAAGGAATTAGGATGGGCACTAGATCAAAAGATTGCCCTAAATTGTTGTTTGATAGCCTATGTAGATGTATTGAAGGACTTACATTTTTCTGTTAAAATAAAACAGGCCACGAGTTAGGGGTACTGTAGTCTAACTTGGCATGAAACCAAACTGTTAAAAAGGTAGCAAAAGTACATAATTATTTTCTGTGTGATTTTTTTTTTTCAGGCCATATTACCTGATTTCTTTTAGCATTATCCTTGCTTATTTTGTGTTTCTTTCATAGAACTTTCATGGCAGAAACTTTGCATGGCACAAATAAGCTTATACTGCAGGTGTCCTCCAGGCAGCAGTCCCCAGCTTTTCTGGCACCAGGGACCAGTTTTATGGAAAAAAAAATTTTTAGGAGGGGGAGGGGAGGTGGGACAAGAGGCAGTGAGCTTGGGCAGTGATGCTATGTGGTTCGGTTCCTAATAGGCTGTGGACTGGTACTGGTCCATGGTCCAGGGGTTGGGGACTTCAGCTCTAATGGAAGCTGCACCAAAATCTGAGAATTGGAATTTATCAAACCACAATCATGGTAGGATTATTTGTATTACAACAATAACAGCAACAAAAATCCAGTCCTTTACCAAAGAAGCAGATAGATTTCTATAAATAGCAAGCTATCCACATCCTCCTCCACAGGACAATTAAAAAATCCAGCAAATTAGATTAAGTGAGTCTGCAACAATGTATAGGCTTACGTATTAAGAATGGGAAGTTTGTTAAGGTAGCTGCATTCCATACAAGTGTTCTCACATTGAATTTCAATTATACATCCTCTCTACATGAAGAAGTAATATATTTGACAGAGTTTTTGATTAGGCTGCAATGTATTTATTTCCCAGATGCTACAAATCCACAAGGAATTTCACTGTACAAAGCAGAAATGAAAATCTAGGTTTATTTTCTGTGCTTGTGTTCTCACTGGAGCATGAAGACTGTGGAAATACGTGAATGTTGGAAGTGTTTAATGAGCGGTGAGAGCCAGCACAGGCCCCCAGGTCCTGACATCTGTTCCAATTTGTAATTGGCTGTCACAGCCTATACTTTATGCTGTGATCATAACAAAAAGCATTTTTAAATTGCTCACGTAACCGTATGTCTTGGACCATGGCACTATCCTTGGCTCCTGTATGTGTTATTTTTCTAGGTCTTTTTAAAAAAATTCACTAGGCACAATTGATTAATTGGTATCAAGAAAGGAACTAAAAGGTTACCTGTGCCTCAATGAGAACAATTTTAAAAAACTAAGAATTTACCTTTGTTTTCTAGAACTGAATTCCTGAGATTTATTAAAAAGGCATTTTGTGGACTTCAGACAATTACATAATTTTCAGGGCCAACTACAAAATAAAAACACAAGACCCCTCACATTTGAGAAACAAGGAAAGAATTGTCATTAAAAGATACTAAAGGAGCAATACCTATGGCTCAAAGGAGTAGGGTGCCAGCCCTATATACCAGAGGTGGCAGGTTCAAACCCAGCCTTGGCCAAAAAAAAAAAAAAAAAGATACTAAAATATAAAGCTTTTTCCTGTCTCCTCGGGTCCCTCCTCTTAACTTGTCATGATGCTGTTTTATTTACTATTTAATGTCATTCTCAGTAAAGAAAAATTTAAATTTAAAATTATTAGCATGAAGTTTATCTTTTATCTTTATATTATGCAATTAAAGTTTGAAACGCAAATGTGAAACTCCTCAGTGAATTCGCACACCCGCAGGCTCCATTATCCCAGGAATGTCCCCAGAACTCCTATTTCGTAGTCCATATATGCCTGTGTATTTTGTTCCTGCCAGAATAGTGGACACGCTGCACAAAACTAGCTCCACTTCGTAACCTCACTTCCTGATCTGTGCGTATTCTGACCAACACTCTTTTCTACTTATGACTCAGGAAGAACTGAAAGGGGTAAGAACTCTGGGATGCTCTGGCTCTCTCTTTGCCGGCGAGTCCTCATTGCAGCATAAGTGGTCAGCTGACGCAGGGTAGCATCAGAGTGACCGGTTGGCCAGTGTAAACTGGTGCGTGAGAAAGAAAGGGTGGTTCACGTTTCTTACAATGCCACGCCTTCTTTCTGCATTTGAAGCAAGTTCTGGTTGCAGGTGGAAGTGTGGCCTCTCAGAGCTCGTTGTACCCCGCCCCGTTACTCGTTACTCGGCTTTGATGTGACAAGCTTACTGTGTTCCGCCTTTGAGTCTTGCTGAACTCCCACCCTTACGGGTTCCCCTAGACCGTGACGCTAATGGACCCCCTTGAATGCCCGAGAAAGCGGGAAGGCAGGGAGCTGCAGTTGGGCGTGGTGTCCCGTCCCCTCCGCTCACCCGCAGGCTCCACTGTCCCATCAGACTTCCTTTTCAAAACAGGAGCTAAAAGACTGGAGTGTTAAGAATTCAAGATAGTAAGAGCGGTGCGTTAATCCGAGCACGCAACACTTCTGACCCCGGGCCCTGTGCGAGTAGGACACAAGCCCGCCCGCGGAGCTGCCTGGCCTCCACCATCCCATGTACAAGATGGGGTGATGACGTGACAGTGGCACCAGGCAGGAGCGCTGTGTGGAGTGATCGAGTTCCAGTAGTCTGCAGAAAGCAGCTCTCAGGACTAGTTTATCGCCCTTTACCTCCGCCCCCCAAATCAGGAAACGGTGGTTGTATTTCCACTAGGGAACTTGTGTATTCAGTTTGGGTCAGGCAGTCCCTGTATGAGGCCCACTCAGCAAGACAGGCTTCCACAGGCACCGGACTCTGGAGCAGAATGAATGCTCCTTGTCCTGTGCGGTGGCAGGCAGCGAACTGTGCAGTAGTCAGCAAGGTCCCAGCTGAGGTCAAGGGTCCGCCTGGGTATCTTTATTCAGTGGCAATCACTGAGGCAGTGTATAGCCAATAGCGCTGTGCGGGGTACTCAGCAGACAAAGGCACAAGTCATTAAAAGCAGTGTGGTTGCCAGGTTGTCTCCCTCTGAAAATGAAGTCGGCTCGGTAGAGAAGGCCTCTGTTCTGAACTCGTGGAGGGGAGATGTTTGAACCCAGAATGAAAACAAGACAGAGAATGACGTCCGCAGGAGTAAGCCGGGGAAAGCTCTGGGTAACTACAGCATCCAAGTGAAATTTGGGACGGAATGAGTTCCAGGGTCCAAAGTTCCTGAAGAAATATTATAAATAATACTCCTCAACTCTACTCCTCTACTCTTCCTGGGAGAGCAGCTTATAAAATGCTGTTTTATATGCCTAAGGTGTATTTGTTTTATTTACAATATTTAACCAAACATTCGACTTAGAAATGTCAATTTAAAAAAAATTACTAAATTATAGCTCCTTATTGAGTTTGTATATATGGATTACATTAACATAATTTTATTTAAAAGCTAAATATTTTAAAGAAATTCTATATATTTTACTGGTATGGTCTTTTTAAATTTTCAGATTAAGATGAGGGTACAAATGATTAGTTTACATTGTTTGTTAGGTAAAGTTCGAGTTGAGCCCTTCACCCACAGGGTGTGCATATTTTACTGATATGTTTTAAGTAAAAACAATACTACCCTATACATTGTTCATTTAAAAAATACTGGACATGAAAATAGGCTCAGTGGGTAGGACGCTGGCCCCATATACCTAGGGTGGTGCATTTGAACCAGGACCCAGCCAGCTAAAACAGCAGTGGCAACTGCAACAAATAGCCAGGCATTGTGGCGGGCACCTATAGTCCCAGATACCTGGGAGGCTGAGGCAAGGGAATCACCCTAGCCCAGGAGCTGGAGGTTGCTGTGAGCTGGGAAGCTACGGCACTCTACCAAGGGCAACAGAGTGAAATTCTGTCTCGGGGAGGCGGGGAGGGCGGAAACTAGGTAAGGCATTATAAATATTCATGTTTCCAGAAAAGTGAGCCAGCCATTTCTGATCACACAACAGGTGAGACTTGGTGTCTTGTGTCAGTATGATTTTCCTTCTCTGATTCTGAAGCTTTGGGCTTGACCCCCTTGAGGACATACAATTGTAGTTTTAAAAAATCTCTTTGCAGAGAAAAGGATTGATGAAAACATGGCATAAAAATCCATGTCTAGGGTATTCTTTTAAGGATTTTCCTTCACCCTGACCCATTTGGTTTTGAAAAATCTGGTTTCAATTTTCATTTCAAAAATGTAATAGACTTAACTGAGCTTCTCAGGAAGCATTAACTTTTTGGATTCCTGGGTCCTCTCCGTCGCGGGTGCCACAGTTATGGAAGATGACTAACTCCAGGAAATGCTGAGTCAGGACATGGGTGTGCTGCCTCCAGTGCTGGTTCTCAAAGGATTTTTCTGATAAATAATGTTCTTGTTTCCAGACGCAGAGCCGAAATATCTGATAGTTGTGCGACCTGCTCCCCCTCCAAGTCAGAAGAAGTCATGCTCAGGTACAGTCATTTTCACTGGCATATTTTTTTTCCTTTTATTAACTTTAAACCATGACTTTTCATCTTTTTTCTACCCAGGGAGACAAAATGCCTTGCAGAGTGGCATTTAGGGCCTCAGTTACCCTGTCAGAAAGTCACACAGCCTGTCAGCAGGCACTATCAGGATCCAGTGGGATCTTACCCTGCACCACCACCTGCAAACTGCAGAGATTTAAACAAGTTATTGAACCTCCCCCCACTCCCAGGTTCTGCTGTGTCATCAGGTTGCTGTGAGGATGAAATGAGTGGATGACAGCACCAGGCCCCTTGTGAGTGCTGTGTTGGTGTCAGCTGGCCCTAGCCTGTTCTGTTTTGCAGAACACACCTGCTGTTGTGCCTTTCAGAGTGTAAGGACAGAGTTTTAGGTCTAACCTGCTTATGTAGACTCTCTACATTTTGAAAGGATATATTTTTTTGTGTTAAATGGACCGGAAGGAAGGCGTTCTTTCCTTCTCATTTCTCCCTTCTATAGCTGTTCTCTGTATTATTCACACATAGTGGAATATGTTCATAATAACAGCAACAACCACTTTCCTAAGCCTAGGAAGACCTGAAATAGGAAAGAAAATAGCATATAAATAAAATAACCCAACGAAAGAAAGATTAAAATCCTACATCTAATTTTACTACTAAAACTCCTCAGATCAGCACTTTGGGATCACCAAGTCAGGTGAATTGCTGAATTCAGGAGTTCAAGACTAGTGTGAGGAAGAACAAAACCCCATCACTCCTAAAAATAGAAAAACTAGCTGGGTGTAGTGGTGGATGCCCATAGTTCCAGGTACTCAGGAAGCTGAGGCAAGAGGATGGCTCAGCACTCTACCCAGGGGGACAGAGACTCCATCTCAAACTAAATAAATAAATAAATAACAACTCAGATCAAATAAGCTGATTCCTCTCCTGCTATGAGGAAGAACCCATAGAAACCATTAGCTTTTCCATCTGACGTCGCATCTTCCTAACTGTAGATAAGTGTTCCTCACAAAGTTTTGCTTTTCTTTATCTAATGTGAAGTCATTTATAAATAATTATCTCCTAATCATGTTTATCTTTTACAGTACACTGATTATCCCCCACACACAAAAGGATTCTTTTATATTTGCTATATTTTTCTATAGGGATAAAACAGGAGAGAGAGCATTCAACTATCCAACTCTGCTGAACAAAGGGGCCCTTTGTAGCTCTGTACTCAGTCTCCTGGATGTGTGAGCCCAAATCTGGCTGTCAGCAGTCAGTTGCCACAATCCCCTCCCCTCTTCCTATTGATTTCCACTTCTTTTAAAAGCAGCATTGAAAAGTTAAGCATTTAGAAAAAATATACATTTCTTTTTCCTGGCCTCTTATCCCACAGCAAAAGGGAAATCTCAATCACTCCCTATGACTTATTAGTGAGAGTTATCCAGACAGTTTTCCATACACTTTAAAATAAATACACTCTCAATATTTTAAGACTATATTTCAAAATATTGAACAATAAAATTAAGAGGCATAAATATGGCTCCATGGGATCTATTTTCATACGAATAGTAATTGAACTATTTCTTGATACAAGTATAATTATAATACCAATCTGTACAAATATAAGAAAAATCAAGAGCATTGTCACACCTTAGTTGCACTTAATAATTTCATTTCATTTTGAGGATTTCATAACATTGGCCTTAGAAATTATTTTTCAGTTTGTTATGGCCAGCTCAGGAAATTGTTTCATCTAGCTCAGGATATAATGCCCCACCTTTCCTTTCAGGTGACAGATAGAATTTTTGTTTTTGTAATCTGTATTTGAGAATAATGTAATGACTAATGGATTAGATTCCATTTTATATTTGCATCTGCCACATAAATTTTAATTCTTTAATCATTTTTCAGATTCGAATTTAGAAAAATATATTACTTGGTCAGGTAAGCCTTAAGTTCCCTGGGGGGGGGGAAGTGTATATTTTGTTTCTAAATGTTATTATCTTCACCATTGTGAACTAAGCCAGTAATACAGAAAAAAATAAAACTAGATTCTTCTTGAGGAGACCTGGGTTTGAGTTTTGCTCTTAGTATAACTTTTTGAAACTTCTCTAGGCCTTATTTTTCATCTGTAAAATGAATGAGATCATTGCATTACATTTGTGAAAATCAAATCAGGGATTGAAAAATGAGTATTAGAGTCCCTCATGTTCAAACTCTAGGTGCCAGCTACCTTCCCTCTAGATGGCTAAGCTGCCTTCCTCAGAGGCCAGACATAGATGATTTGAAGCCCCATCCTAGGAGGTCCTATGTGTGGACTAGAAAAAATTTACAGGGAAGGATAAACACATGTTTGCAACCAAGTAAACAAAAAACTATCCTGTAAAATTGTTTTAAATATCTTTAAAAGATCATCTATACCACCATGAGACAATTTACGCCACTAGATTATATATCTTCTGGCACTGTATGTTTCTTACTAGAACAACAATTTGTAGAATTTATTTCTAACAGAAGCAACATGCATGGCACAATTTTCAAGAGCATTTGATTCGGGATAACCACCAGGGGACTCATGTGAGAGGGACCCTCCTACTCACCTTTATAAAGGTCACAGGCCACTTTGCCACTTAGCCTCCCAATCCATTAGATTAAGTTAGCACAAATTCTTCCTATGGCAAATGTGACGTAAATAGTCCGATGAAATAAAGAAGGGAATTCAATGGAAATACAAAGCATGTAAGTTTCAGGTTCTATGTAGTTTCATTAGGCTTTCTATAGAATTTTAATTTTATTTACATTGATTTTTTTTTTTAACAAGCCAGTATTGGTTTCCATGGTTGAGATTCTTCCTTTCTTTTTTTCACCGTCCTCCCATTTTTATAGTTTTGAAAATGCAAATCTCTGGTCTTGTATATGTAAAAAGAATTTACAGTGGTTCATGTGCATAACTTTTGGCATCACCCGAATCCACCCGGTTCCATCTGAACAAATGTGCTTCCTCTTCACGCACTGTTGGAATGTGTGTGCCTTTTCCATATAAGTACTCACTGCAAAACATAGGCTGTTACGTTAGTATCACAAGATACGTTGCATTTCCAAATAGGTGAAAAAGAAAGACTGTAACCTACTATCTAGATGGCAGGTTTCTTTTTTCTTCTTAGATGTTATTTCACACTAATTTATAGTAGTAGGGGGAAAAATAATGCTTGTAATTTATCTGTAAAAGAAATGAAGTGAATAGTGTGTGTACATGTACAATGAGGACTGTCTGGAAAGTAACGGGCTGTCTATGCCTCTATTTTCCGTATAACATTGCTGCATACTTTCTGGATGTCTCCTGTATATACATGCATATAGATATGCGTCTGTGTATTTATTTCCCTGATTATGATCAAGACCTCTGTATCCTTTCCTAACCCACAATGAAGCAAAAGCTAGGTATAGTTGTATATTATTAATATTACAAATATAAATTATAGTATGACTATAAATGAATTATATTATATATATTTTACATTTATATGAACACATATATACACACATATATATAAATCTTAAAAAAGGCATTTTATTTGATTCATGGTTAAATTCATGAGCAAATATTAGTAATATTGTCGACATTATGGAAATAAGAAGAACTTGATGTTTTCACCCTTTTCATCATCTTGCCAAGTCATCTGTATGAATTTTACCCAAATCATGATAATATACTAAATGTTTTCAGAATTAACCTGTATACTACCTCCATAGGTAAAACCCGTTCCCGCAAACCTCTCCAGCTGGTGGTTGGCACCCTGTCACCAAGCTCCGTCTTCCTGTCCTGGGGTTTCCTCATCAACCCACACCATGACTGGACTTTGCCAAGTCACTGTCCCAATGACAGGTAACTCACCATAATGGGAAACTTTGATTTTCATCTGAAAAACTAGTGCTGGCTTTCAATAGTATAATATCTATCTGTACATGCCTGAGAAGAATGTGTAAATATCAGGACCATTAGCATTTACTTGTCACTTGTTTGCTGTGCAGTCTGTTCTGGGTGTGAGGAGAACAAGGTATCAGTCGGGGGCCCTACCCTTGAGAAAGTTACCATCCACCTGAAGGGAAGACCCAAGCGAGTATTTCTTCCCCGAATAATAAACTGCAAGTGTGAAGGAGTTAAATAGCAAGTCGGCAATATCGATGATAAGTATCATAAAAGCTCAGAGGGGCCCAAGCTCAGAAAGTTGGAAAGATGATTAGAAAAGAATGAATCTTTGCTTTGACAATTGAAGAAGTACTTAAAAAAGCACTTCCCAAAGCATGGTTTCTAAACCAAGCTGTGTCACCCTTACTCGGAAACTCTT